TCCTGTGCAGACTGAGTTTGGAATCCCTCAAAAAAAAAAAAATAAAAAAAAGGAGGAAAACTCAAAAAGTATTTCCTTCACGCCCCAGCAATTGAGACAGAGTGAGGCATAAATATGCTGCTGCCACACTGAGATTACCCCATAGCCCCCGAAACGCATTTACGCCAACTCAACTGATGCAAATCTAATTCTCGGATTCTCAACAGAAGGAGACAGCCAGAAGTTCTCTGGGTATGTGTGTGTGTGTCTCTGCTCGAGTGTAGTGCACAGGGAGAACTGTGCAAAAATATAAACCTCTCAAGTGCAAAAACCATTCAAAAACTAAGCTAAATTTATTTAAGGAACAGCAAGCAACGACGAGTGCAGCAGCCAGAATATTTTTTCCACTAGGTTCACTCCGGTGTGTGGATGTGCGAGGAGCTCCTGCACATTTCACTTAACAGAAATAAAAACTGAAAAGAAAAGCCAACGCAAATGCGAGCAAAGCCGAAACCAAACCAAACTGAACTATACAGAGGCCAAGAAATAAATTCCTTCAAGCCACAACGAACTGCTTATATCCTTGAAGTAGCACTTTCTTAATAATAACAATTATTTTTAAACCCATCCCTCAACTTCTTAAAAAAAATTTAAAAATAATTTCTAGCTTTAGGCTGTATTTTCATAGCTCCTTTATTTTCCTGCTTAAATTCGAATATTTTCTTTGGGCCATTGAACTCGTGAATACCCTTTTATCAAGTGTATTCAAAACGAAGTGAGGAAAACCCATGCAGAGGCACCGGAGCAGAGCAGCCAACAAATGTCGTCAGCCAAGAGCAAGAAGTGGAAAACGTTAGACGGAACCCAGGGAAAATTTGAGGAAAGGGATATATATACCACTGGTTTCGGGGGATTGCAGGAATGAAATTCAGGTGGCGTTGGGAAATACGTTGACTGGGCTCTCTCTCATTCCTTTTTGGCCAGGTCCTGTGACATTGGTATGGATGGATGTCGGTGTGGCTGTTGGCGGCGGCGACGTGTGCATGCAAGGTGCTCGTATAATGCGTTGTGCGTGTTAAAAGATAGTTTTGCCCGGCTCAACGCGAGGCCAAAATCCAGCAAGTTTCAGTAGCAGCCAGCAGCAGGAGCAATAGGAGCAGCAGCAGTTGGAATAGAATGGAACTACCCAAACCCAAGCCCAACCGCACAGCTCAGCGACAGGTAGTTTTACACATTGAAAAATCCCAAACACCGTGACACGACTTGTTTTGGGGTTGGGGTTAAGCACGGAGAGAAATTATATCACTAATTCTAAAATGTTGGGAAATTTATATAGAAAATGGAAGGAAATATATGATGATATGTTTGAATAAGTAATACTGGTTTGTCTACTTTAAGACACACTTATTCTTCTTCTCAGAATACTTTCCTTTTTTCTCCCTGTGTACTTTTTTGAAACTGCTCCTGTTCAGCGGCTACTGTCTGCGTGTGTGGATAGCTCCCTAATGTAATGGGTCCGGGGATCAAGGCAACGCGAGACAAATGCACAAAGAACCTCACTCCTTTGTTTGCTCTCCTCTTTTTTTTTGTGGGGAGAATATAGTACTACAGCTGCAGCATTGGCATTGGGGATCTTTTCAATATCTGCAGTCGTAAAAAAAAGAGGTGTGTGCTAAGGGGATTTCTGGGCATTTGGCTGCGATTTGTTTTAGAACGAGGGAAAAATGGGGGACGTCAAATGGCCTCAGAAGGGTTTACGTTGTTTCTGTCAAAGTTTGATGGAAATTGGTAAAAAGTTGGGAACCTTAAAACTTTGAAATTATATTTGTTTTTGTAATGGATATAGAATTGAATAGAGCAAGACTAGTTAAGTAGAGAAAAATTTGATTTATCATAAATGTTCCATTATGAAAATATGAATTATTAAAAAACTTCTGAATGTGCAAAGCATTTTAAATTTCAAGAATTATTTCCCCTTAGCCTAGCCTATACAATGTTATTTTTGTGCCATTTTTTATATATTTTTACTGTTGTTTTAGACAATGTTTAAACAAACGACAAACTTGAAGCTCAGACACGGACCAGGGATTTTTCCTCTCTCATTTTTTTGTAGTATTTTTTTTTTTGTGTTGTGTTCATGGCTTGTAATTTTTTCCACGCTGCGCGTGCTTCTTGTCCATATTTTGCCCTTAACCCCAGAGTGGCCTCTGCCGCATCCATTCAAGCAGCATCGTCATGTGTTGTTTGCTGGTAGGTCTTTGGGACTTCGGCCACTTTTCATTCCACACTTCGGGCCTGGGCCTGGGTTTCGGGTTCCTAGACAAATATTATTGTTTCCAACACGCCGTTATTGCATATTTGCCTTAAATGTGTATGTACGTAGATATTTTTTCCAAAGTGTGAATGAAATTAATGCGTTGCACGGTTCCGTAGGGTAGGAATTTTCCCCTTTTTCCCACACAAACACACCATTTGAAATGTTTTGTTTTTGTTGGTTCCCTCCATGCTTTTTCTCTCTTCTCGTTTTCCTTTTTTTTTCCACCAAATATTTTTTTCTATTTTCACACAGACTAAACGTTATTAAATGCAGGCAAATGCCCCGCCGGTCGACGGTCTGATGGCATTTGTAGTGTTGTCTTAGTCGCTGTCGTTGTTTTTATTCTTACTTGTATTATTTTTTGTTTTCTGTGTGTTGTGTGTACAGGTCAGAGTTTCCCTGGCTATATAGTATATCTATATATATGTAGATGAAATGTTTTCTCTTTATTTTTTGCGGCAAAAGCTTTGAGTGTTTATTTGTTGTGTTGCCTACATTTTTGGGTGGCCAGAAGCGCCTGCTAATAGTTGCTAAAATAAACGGTGAAACAGTGGGCTAGCTTAAGGTAAAACAAGTTAAAATCGAAGACTATAAATTGAAGTAAATAGAAATTTTAACAAGCTTAAATTTTAGGCTGGAAACCCAATTAAAACTATTAAAACTTCAACTTTAAATTCCAAAAGAAAAATCGGAAAATAAAACAATGAAAACAATGGAAAACACTTGCAACTTTCTATGCCAAACAAATCCAAATAATTGGCACTATAAACTCCGTCTTCAGAGACTCTTTCTTTTTGCTCTCTTAGCAGTTAGCACTTGCCAGCAGCTTACCAAGCTCCAATTAATTGGCTCAATTCATATAAAATTCGTTCACTCCACTCACTTAGCTTCAATAACAGGGTTCCCAAACTTTTAGTATTTTCTACACACAAACTTTTATAGGAAAAACACACTCACACCCACAGAGAGAGGAGAGTGTGTGTGTTTGCAACCAACTTTTATTTTTTTTCTTGTGTTTCCACAATTAGCCTTAACTGATTTATGTTCTTTAAAGACTTTTGCAGCACTCTCTCCCCTTCGATCGAGTTGGGTAATCCCACTGAATGAGCCAGCCACCTGTTCTTTTCATGCATCATTTGGCTTTTTCGGCTCCACACACACCCAAAATGTGCTGAGTAATGTGTCATTGGCCGGTTTTCAACACCTGTTACCAAATGGCTGACTGGCTGTAGCCAGCCCACTGTGCACCATGGGCCTTGGGCTTTTAGGGGGGAGCTTTAGCTCTCTGTGGCAGTGCCTTTAATGCTAAGTAGCTTTAACGCTGCCGCATCGCCGGCTCGTTAAGCGGGTGGGCGATGGGCGGCGGGGGCGTGGCTGCACACAAAATAGCCGGGGAAAATGCCGCCCTAAATGCTACTAATTAATGAGGATTTAGTGAAAACTGTTGGTTCGTTTTTTATTCGTTGGAATGAAAAAAAAAAAAACGAGAAGAAACATAAAGAAATGCCATTGCAACCGCCCTCGCATAATGCAGTTTTGTGGGGCGTGTTTCCATTTCCCCGGAATATATTTTTCTTTCTGTGTGTGCTAGCTCGCTGCCTGGCTGGTATTAGCATATAAATAGCGTTTTAAATATTTTTAGGCGCACATAATTCTAGGTATTTTCCCCACCACCACCGCAAAGATATATTACAGCGTTTTATTTGTTAAGTATTTCTCTCGTGGCCCTGCCCTGCCCTGCCCTGCCCTGGCCCTGAATTCTCGGGGTGTTTGAGTTTACGTTAGCGTTCGCGTGCGGCAGGACCCTCTAGGTCTTGGGCCTGTGTAAACAGGAAACGATCCTAGGCACACACACACACACACACACATAGAAAACATAAAAAAGAAAAACCGAAAATAAGGAGAACCCACTCCTGCTAAGCATTTAACGCGCAACTGGCAAACGGCAAACAAATGTAATCAATGAAATTTTATGTGCAACAGAAACGCACTTCAGATTTTCCACAATATTTCCATTATATTGTTGTTGGTGGCGTGTTTGGCCGCGCTCTCTTTATGCTTTTATAACTTTATTTAGCCGGGCCAAACACAGTTCAGATACAAATTACAATTGCGGGGCGTAAGGAAATTAAAAAGGATTTCCATGACCCGCAGCCTCGTTGCCTTGTTGTGAATATAAACAGTTTAGGGTAAAATATTAGGTGAATTTAGAAAGGAAATTTTAGATTTACATGTCAATTATCTAGGTTTTAAATAAAGGAAATGAAAATGGTATAAAAATATGGTCATTTCTAATTTATGCTGGCAAAAACATATTCATGTTTTCTAGAATACATATTAAATATACTAAATTTACCGTTAAGCACAGTATAACTTATAGCAAATATTGAATTCAATTACATTGAATTTACTTACAATTCTCAAGTATGAATTCAGTGCCTAAAATTCCCAAGTTTGAATTCAGTGACTCGCTAATATATAACCCCGCAAAGATTTTAAGCCTAAGTGCTCACACAATGAACTACTTTTATTGCTAATTTATATATATATATATATTTAGCTTTGTGATATTTTTGCAAACCCTGATTTGTGACCCCCTTTTTTTTCCCTGCTACATATTATTCCGAGCACATCTGTAGATTTTATTTATTTATTCCTCCCTCTCCAGTTAATGCAAATATTTTACCTTGCTCTCTTTTTACAGACAAGTCCGTTTCACTTCTGCTGCCTCCTGCTGAATCCTTGGTCCTTTCGTGCGTCCCTTTCTGCTAATTGCTTTGTGTGCCAGGCTACTTTCTCCTCCTCGCTAAGCAGGCCAGATCCTTCTACACTCAAGGCTCAAGGTTGGTATTATACTCCAGTTTATATACATTGTATATCGTATTCCCTTTTTTTTCTGTTCGTTCTGTCGTTGGGTTAGCAATTGGTTTTATTTTTGGGGTTTAATTGCAAGCTTTGGACAGATTTTAATTACTGACAGCAGCAGCGTTGGCGGGCACCATTTGTGTGTAAAAGGTCATTGGGAATGTTATCCAAACAGCAGGAATATTCAAATTGAAATTAAGCTAAATATATGGGCAACCGACGGCGAAAGGGTAAATAAGTATTTTGATAATGGAAAAAGGGTCCTGTTTTCATTGGATAATAATGAAAATGAGACGCGAGACAGTATATATTTATTTAAAAGTGAAAGGTTTAAAAGAATATTTAATGTGGCATTAATTACGTTTTATAAATCGCTGGGTAGTGATAAATCTTTTCAAGTGTGGAAAATAAATTAAATTTGTACAGAATATATCTTGCTTAAAGTGTGTGTTTTAAAACCATTAAGCAACTTTAAAAGAAATAAAACTCTATTCACCTAGATTACCGCCATGAAATCCACTCTAGCGATAAATCAAATTGTCTTCGATTGCACTTGAAGCAAACTTCATCCGCACAGAGAGAACTTTTTCTAAACAATTGCATTCAATAAAATCAAGTTAGGCACACAAATCAAACCCCATCTGAGCAACATAGGAACATTAGCATTTGTTAATCAAAGTGTAATTCCGCAATTGCTACCCTATTCGATGGCCTCTTCTGGGCTCAATTCAGGAGGAACTTTGAGCTAAAAACTGCTGAAGAAACTGCCAACAAAACAACCATAAAAACCTCCAGCCATGCGAAATAAAGTAAGACATACACACACTCTGACATAGAGAGAGAGAGAAAAGAAAACTTTCTTAGCCACTCAAAGCGCCACAAATCACTTTAAACTGTAAGGACAAACTTGGTGCCGTCCTGGGTCCGCCGGATAGATGGTAGATGGGGGATTTCCCCGATACCAAACACCCAGATCTCTCTCTGGCGCACCTCACCTGTGTGGCACTTGGTTTGCTGGCTATTAAATCTCGGCACTTGTTTTCTCCCGGCGACACCGAAATCGTATATCTGTAAGATATAAAATCACTTAAATCGTTGAGCGGCTAATCCAGCCGCAGACTGGAGTTTATCATACATCACAGGAAAGTCTCGAGCTCAGTTCCCTTCAAAGGGAAAAGAGGAGGAAAAAATAGAATTGCTCGCATTTCAAATGCCTAATATCAGTTTACAGGCAGAAGAGGGAACAAATCAATAATCACAAAAACCTCAAGGAAACGAAAACATAGCAGAGAATAAATGGTGAAAAACGAAAAGTGTAAAGACCAGGGAATACCTTGTTATTTTAGTGCGTAAAATTCAGAGCATACTTTTAGGCGGGCTGATATTTTAAAGCAAAATATGGCTTAATAAAATGTTAAGCTATAGAAATCACTTGAGTTTTCAATTATTATATCTTAAAAATGCACACAAAAATATTCTAAAAATTATTGCATAGTACAAAACCTAAAATTCTCACAGGAAAATTGCATTGCATACTATTAGACAGCACTTTAAGAGATTTATAATCTCTTGTAATATTTTTTTAGCGTAATATTTGTAAACAATCTTAAAAATGCCTAAAAAAAGAATATTCCCCTTATTTATATTTAATAAAAATGTATATAATACTAAATATACCCCTTGATCTCTTCGATTAATGGGTATCAAAAGGCACGAAAAAAAATCAACACAAGACCCCGAAGGCATATCAAATTTTTTCTTTTTTTTTTTTCCTCCGTTGATTGACGTCTTTTTGGGTGGTAAAGTGGGTGTTGAATCTTTTTTTTGGGCGGAGAAGGTTGTGTCTGAGCTGGGAAGTTCTTTTGAGGAGTTTCCTTTCTTTCATTCTCCCGCTGATTTTTGCTTTTACTTTCGATTTGGCTTTTGTATTTTGGGTATTTGCGCTGATTAGCACAAAGGCGGAGGGAAATTGGTGGATAAACCAAGGGAGTGAGACGGCACTAGGACTGTGTTGTCCTGTGTAAACGGAAAAGAAATCAAATGTTGTCATCATTGCCGGCGTCGGTCTAATCTCTGGAGCATGTTAATAACCCAAAGGGCCTCCTCCACCCGCCAGGAATCAAGCTCTCCGCCAACCCCTCCTCCATCCCAGTCCCCTCATCAGTGCTGTCCATGTAATTTCATGCAAATATCGTATTATACGACCGGCGAATGGAGAACTGTACGTGTTGTGGGTATAGAAACGGTCTCACAATACACAATATAATCATAACAACCAGAGTCCAGCAGCGGTAGTATCCCCTTGGAAGTCACGGGGGTGGACTTGTGTAATATTTGTCAATAGCCAACCGATGTGCCGACAATTGTCATGGAACAGAAAAAAAATAAACGGAAGAAAGGGAAGAAAACCCGAAGGAGGAAAGCGGAAAACCCAAAGTGGAGCGGACAGCGTGAAAGCTGGCCATAAATAAGCAAATAAAATGTAATAACTAAGTGAAAATGTGCAAAATGTGCTGTGTTCGAGGCCGTTCCCTTTAATGTCCCCCTGGAGTGCCGCCGACTAAATGAAAATGTCAAGTGAATGGCGAAAGGATCAGTGGTTACTTTGTATTCACAATCAAAAGTGCTTTAGATACGAATAAGCGAAATTACAGGGAAGTGGTATGGATTTAAGTTAGGGTTTTGCTTTAAAAACCTGAGGGATTGTGGAATTTGTAAGATAAGTGTAGGGATTTTTTATTAATTTTAAAAGCTTTGTTGAATATATTGTCCTAATATTTTTAAACAAATAATAAATATTGATTTCCTATTTTAAATAATTAACCAACTTTACTAGAAATCCATAGATATTCCCCGTAACCAAGTTAATTCCTATTTACCCAAGACTTGAGACATTCGCCTTCTGGCATTAATTTTAAGCATCAGCTTCAACTCCCAAGCTCATATCATCATATTCAATGCAAACTAAGTATTAAGTAAATTTCTACGAAAGGTACTACACATATCTCTTACTGGCACAATGGCAAAGCTGCTGCTGCTCTATCAAATTCGCACACGTGCCGAGCTTTGAACTCTTAGCTGGGATATTTTATTCATGGCGCCCGAAATCTATTTCGACTTGAGCTGCTTAAGTGAGCAGCAGCAGCTCTTCTCTTCCCCCAACTAGCTAGTTAGCTATGCATTTTGCCACGCCCACCGAACGAACTACTTAGCAGCTGCAGCAATAGCACTGCCAGCTTAAGTTACACTGAAAAGGCGTAAAGATTTGAGGGAAAAAATGGTGTGGTGATTTTGGAGAATTTATTTATTTTAGCAGCGAAGGTACAGATTATTTTTCCAAGATTTTTATTTAGGAATAAACATTTAAATTACAAAATTTGCCCTAGGTTTAGTTAGTAAAAATCATTGCATACTTTTTGGCTGTCTCTTTTTTGGTAATCCAAATGAAAAACTAATATTTAAACTGATAAATAAATATGTTTTATATATTCTTTTAAATTTTAATATTTAAAATACAAAAAATGTATTATCTATAGAAAATAAATATCACTGCATACATTGAGGCTGCCTAAAATGCTATTTAAAATCTCCAAATTTTATTTTCAAAACTCCCACCTACTTATTTTTGTGTAAAACTGATAGGTTAATATTCTATGTTTGATATCTGTTTATAATCTATAAAATTCTGATAAAATCTAATGTCATTTCTTTCCGTGCACCATTCCAAGCTGCACACACATATCGCCAATCTCCCCACATTTGCACACACATTTGCTGCTACTGCCCCCGTCTCTCCCCCTATGCCGTATTCGGTATTCCGCCCTGATAAGTTGCAATGCATTTCTTGGCATTTCTCTGGGCTGTCTCAGCTATCTGCAAAGCGCCACGCTGCCAACTAAACAATGAAGAACTAATCCACAGAGTATACACAAAAGAATGGCTATAAAACCGCTCGTGTGGGTGGATAAAAAAAAAAAACAGAGAATACAAGAACCGAGAATGAGGTGGGATTGTGTTTGTATAAGGCCACTTTATGGCTGCCCTTTTGCAACAATTGTGCAGCGCTGCATTCAATCAACAAACTTTTAAAGCGCAGTTACAAAACTCAAACAAAACCAAGAAGTATGGGGAAAAAATACAGAAGGAAAATGGTGTAGAGATGGGGAGAAAATGGAAAATGGGGGGAGCAAAGATACGTGATGGTCAGGGAAATTGCAGCAACAACAACAACGGCAGCAGCAGCAGCGTTTAATTATGACAATCAATACCCAGACATATACAAGCACAGATCCTAGAATAAATACAGTAGAGCCTGAGTAGATCCTATTTTTTATTAGGGCAATTTCTATAGAGTTTATTTGGTTGTAAAATGGTGTTTATATGGTTTTTATATCGTTAAAAAATCTCAGTAATCCTATAAAAAATACTTTTATACTCCTTACCCTTCTCCAGTCTTGAATAGTTAAATATCTCGAGGCTCCACTGTACTATACACATACACACTCACTCATATATGACCGATTTTATTGCTGATGTGCTCTCATTGCTCATCTGCGCTGCCCAGGGACCTCGGACCTCGGACTAGTGCAAATAAAACTTGATTAAATTCCATTGGCGGGTCCAATTTCGCCTGGGTCGGGTTCTTCTTCTCCTCCGGGGTGGTCGTGGAGGCGTGGAATTGACCGGAGAATCTCCAGAGATAAGCAAGTGAAGGCTACAGCCAGTGCTATGGTGTGGATCCCTCTGCCATATTACAACAATAAAACATAACCTAATTAGATGGAAGCTTGTTGTTGCTTGGTTACATCTAAAATCCTATTTTTGTGGCAAAAGGTTACTAACACAGAGTTTAGTAAGCAAACTTAATTGAATTAATATGTGGAATTACCGCTAGACAACAAAAGTGTGCATTTAATATAAAACTTCTAAGTGGTTATGAGAAATGCAGAGTCTATAGAGGATTTTACATCTCTATAAT